ATTACAAATGATAATAGGTAATACGCAAGATCAATACACAACAATTGGGGGCCACTAACCACCCAGAAGTGGGTACAGGCCACGAGCAACATTCAGAGAGTGACTACCGACCCTTTTGGTCACCAGTCTATATGGTACGCTCCAAGGGTCGTTATCAACAGCGATGCATAGTTCCATCCAACATTTATCTTCAGCCTTCTTTATAGCACACTTCAGGTGTGCCCTAGCTTTATTGTACGCCCCGAGCTCCGAATCGAGTGAGTTTGAGGTTGATCTGCGACCAGCACGCTGATAACTCCTTCGGGTAGCAATAGCTAGCAATCTTCCGCAAATCCGCAATCACAATATTCCACCAATAGACCGAACTCTTCCCCTTCAGTTCGGTTCTACGTGGCATCGCTGCGACAGTAGCTCGTTGAGACGATTGGCGTAGTCGTCAGGAGACGCTTCCGCTGGTAAGGGGAATGGTGCGTCCACCATATCCCAGTGAGCATTATCCGCATCCGGGTTGAGCCTCTTAACGGACTAGCCGACAACAGGAGTTCTAACGGGCCCGTTGGTGGAGCGGCCACAATCTGAAGTGACCGCTATAGACGTGATGTATATATGGTCACTGGCGGAATATGTACCATCCAGCGCGTTCCAACCGTCAACCAGCGGGCGATTGTTCGGTAGGCGTCTCGTCAGTGTGACATCAATGACCGAAACTGCATTAACACGCCTATAAGTGGCCGTAGATGTAGTATCTACCTTGCAGACGACTAAGCCTAAAGATGAAGTAAAGTCTGATAATAAAGGCCCTCTGGTATCATCAGTAGCCGAGCCCCATTAAAAGTGAGCATTAAAATCACCGCCCACAATGAGGTTAGCCTGGCTGCTTTCTTGATGTCGCATGGACACTTCTTGAGGCCACCAAGAAAAGCATCAAACTCAACAATCATGCAGTTGGGACGGCAATAGAAACTTTAGACTAGGGCGTTATCAACCTTCGCCCAAGCGAAACCAATTCCATCACCATGATCAGCAATTGGCTTATGGGAACTATCCAACGCCAAAATCGCGCATTTGAGGTCAACACTCGCGACCCATTGTTCATCGCCACCCATCAGTCGATGATAATCACTTATCACAGCGATGGTCGTAACATCTAGTTCAGCCATTGTCTGCAGAAGTAGTTGCTGAGTAGCCCAAAGTGATTCAGATTGATCTGGATAACGTTAATCAACACCGAAGGGACTGCTCGCACGGGGTTACGATGTTGCGAACCCATTACGACTGTTTTACATTTACCGCTCCTGTCTCTTCGTTTTCCAATTGAATGGCAAACTCCTTCGGCACTCCAGTCGTAGCCTCGCATTTTGCCGCTTTGTGGCCTTTAACTTCGCAACGCCAGCAGCATAGACTTCTGTCCGGGAAATTTGCATTCGCTGAACACATGGCCAAACGAGAGGCAGCAGTAACACCTCGTCTTCTGTTCACCTTGCCTGATCCTGCAGTTAACCATTCCAACTCTTAGCCTGTGCCCTATGACCTTTTGACATAATGCTGTTAGAAGTAATGCGAAGGCCGTCTGCGTTCTTCCATATCCTTTCCTGAGACTTATCACTCTCGTGGTGTCATGGCTGGCACCTGTTGCATCTGCAACCACATCAGCTACCTCCTCTGTTACCGTCCATTGGTCTAAGTCCTTGATCTCTATCATTGTCCTTTGCTGGAGAGATGACACCTCTATTCCGTTTTCAACCTAACCTAACCAATAAATGGGGCACAAATTCACGGTACTGACGTATTACTAGGTACTATGCAGTTCCGTCTTCACCGAATTGGGCACAAGGCCAGATTCCCCATCAGGTTGGAGCCCCGAATAACATAAATTATTACAAAATTGAGTCATTTTATTATATAATTAACTACAATAATAATCAAATTGAATAGGAATTCAATTTTAAACTTTTTCATTTTATTTAACTATATTTAAAATATAGAATATAATATTTTATTAGTGTCTGTAATAAATTTGAAACTAAAAAAATTGAAAAACAAATTTCCGACGACATTGTTGCAAAAACGGCTCATAAATTGGTCAGTAATGTGCATAGAAATTGATCGCCAAAAACTGTGCTTCGAAGATATGATTAATTATTTTGCTCATCAGAAATCTAAAAAAAAAAAACCGTTGCTGACTACGTAAACGATAAGTACTAATACTAATTTATAATTAGTAATTTGGAACTTGGAATTAGCATTAAAAAGTATGAAGCAAAAAAATGTATAATTTAATATAAAAAGCAAATTAAAGACATATTTATTAAGTTTACGTAAGACAATTATAATTATTTTTATAAGATTTAGTAAGTACTTTTTTCGTTTTTTTCAGTTTAGCCATTTTTTTCTTAGTCTATTATGTTTAATTATATTTGAGTCAATCATTTTAGTGTATTGTTTCATTCTCATTGACAAGTAATAAAGTAATAGCTGATAATAATGCTGGTAATTTGTTCTTGATACTCTGTTCAAGGAAACTTATATTGAATGAGGGAACATATATCAGTTTTCACCAGTTCAATGACACCAGTTCATTAATTAAACAAATGTATATAAAATATGTATGTACACATATATATATTAAACAATAATTGTATAGGTATAGTACTTATAAATATTCCCTACTACCTACTGTTTTGTTAGTGATTAAATGTATAATTTTAATACGACTTACGAAGATATGTTGTGTCCCTTTTTTGACCCACAATGGAGAAAACAGCAAAACTGTACCATATTTAATTTAGCTAAAGAGGAAAGGATAAGTTAGAATAATAGAATAGGAATTTTGAATAATTAATTTACTCATTATAAGATTTTATTTTACAGATTTAATAATATTATATTATGCAAATTAAAACATTAAGATGCAATTTTTGGAGGGGTTTTAAAAAGGTTCAATATATTTTTAACGCGGATGAAGAAGATACACACAATGTTATTGAATATTATAATATTATAATTAATGTTGATTAAAATAATATGAAATTCGAAATAAACGGCTTAGTTGCTATATTAACCGCTAGATGTGCTAGTGGGCCCACAGGGCGTGACATTAATTTTCCGAAGGCTCGTGCAGACGTGCAGTAGCGAGCGTCCGTGAGTCGTGACCAGTCGGCAGTCCTATATGTACGTCCGCGGTATAAACCTTTGGAGCAACCTACTCAATTGAGTAGTCAATTGACTTCCACTACAAAAATTTAAAAATTGAAGCCATTTATTTATAGCGATAAATACTGCATTAAAAATTGCCAAACCGATTAAAATCGTATGTTTTGGCTATTATTATTATTGAATTTAGTTAACAAAATGGATGTCAATACCATGCTAATGAATACTAATACATTGCAATTTTTGTTTTAAAAAAACCAAAATATTTTTATTATATACACTGTATTATGTATGGTATACTATAATATTATATTGATCTGTATTAAATATAGTTTATTTATTTAATATATTATATAATATGCATATTGAATGTATGTTGCAATATAATTAAGTTATTGGTACATAAATATATAAGCAATATACAATTGAACACTACTCCTCACTCATTAAATGTAGAGTGTCCCAATTATAAAATAGAATATTACATTGTTACATTATTGATCAGTTTAATTTACTGTCTTTTATTTATTATATCTCATGATACTTACACAATTTGTTTGCACTATTAAATAAATTGTATTCATAATGCCATCAATGAACAGATAATAGTTGCAGAAGGTATGAATTTAATTAGATATTTAACCACCGATATAGGCTACTCATAGTAGCAGCACATACTGTTTATAAACAGTTCTGTTCTATATAGGTATGTATTATTTAGTATTATACTATTGTATAGAATATAGATAGGTACCTATATTATAAATAAGACAAAAGTTAAAGAATTCCATTTCTTTAATAATTATCAGTATAATAAGCGTTTTAGAATCCTTTACCAACTCAAATAAAATTATGTACATTTATAAAAACTGAATTCAAACAATTTTATATTGTACCTAATACTTAAAATAGCAAATGTGGTTTAATATTTTTTGATTTGAGATTTATTTTCATGCATTAGAACGATATACTTAATTTTACTATATTGAATATACAATTTTTATCTTGGTTTTTATATTATAATAAAATAGATTTATCATGAAATCTAATGACATTTTTCAGAATTCCCTATCGGTTCTATTTTTGTCAAAACCCGCATTCAAACATTGACCCTTAACGCATATTACATGATTAGGGTTGTCATCCGTCCCGATATATCGGGACTGTCACCGATATTGAGCTCTCTGTCCCGACGTCCCGACAAAAGACCAAAATGTCCCGATTGACACTGTGCATTGCAAATTTCGCTTTATTGCATACAAATATGCATGACATGATCGAAAACAAAAAATTTTGTTTTTCAACTTGTATCATGTTCTTGTACAACTAAACGTATGCGATTAAAATCCAATTAAATCGGTCATATCGATAATATAATAATCGTTAGGTATCGCTTGTTTACGTCTGACACTTTCGTTCGTTCTCAGAATCGTATCGGTCGGTCCGTACAGCGATTATCGGATTCATGGTATTTACAAATTACGTAGGACACGGGCACACGGCATAACTGCATAAGTCGATAATATTGTCAGTCAGTCGCTTTATTTACTTGACGGCGTACGGTACGATATTCTTTTTCGGAAAGTGCGTAATTTTAAATATCAACACGTTTGTTTACGAAAATATCTGCGGCGAAAAAGAGAAAGTGCCATTTTTTGGATGAATATACGAAAGAGTGGAGTTTTATAAAAAAAAGGCGTACGGATGAAGAAGCGCTATGTGTTTTTTGTAATTGTTTTTTATCAGTTACTCACAGAGGTAAAGCTGACGCAAAGCACCACATTTCTACGACTAACCACAAAAAAAAATTCGCTGTTGTATCGACGTCATCGCCCATATCCATATTTATGATTAAACAAGATACCCAAGAAGAGTTGCTAATTACGGCAGCAGAACTAACAACAGTTTATAAAGTTGTAAAACATCATCAGTCTTTCAGTTCACTTGATTGTATCGTAAAACTGAATGCCATGTTGTATTCCGATTCTAAAATCGCAGCAAAACAATCCACAGCCAGAACGAAGGCTACAGCAATTGTTAAAAATATTCTCGCACCACATTCTGTGTCAGAAATAAAAAAAAAATTGCAAGAAGTTTCATATTACGGAATAGGCACTGATGCGTCCAACTACAAAGCTCAAAAAATGTTTCCTTTGATTATTCAATATTTCACTGAACAAGATGGTATCCAACATAAGCTATTGAAGTTTGATTCTTTAAAAAATGAAACGTCGGAAACTATCTCCAAATATTGTATCGACACTTTAAGACAATTGCAGATTCCATTGGATAAGCTAATTGCTTTTTGTGGGGACAACACCAACACCAACTTCGGAGGGCTTCAACGACGTGGTCAATGCAATGTTTTTCATAAAATAAAAGAAGACCTGGGAAGACCTATAGAAGGTATTGGATGTCCAGCCCATATTCGGCACAATACTATATCAAGCGCTTCTGGAATATTATCAGTAGATGTCGAAGTTATTGTTCTTAAAATATTTAATTATTTTGCAATATACACGGTTAGGACAGAGAAACTGAAAGAGTTCTGTTCATTTGTTGATATTAATTATCAAACTCTTTTGTCACATTCACGAACAAGATGGCTGTAATTAATGCCCGCGGTTGAAAGAATTTTGAAACTTTAGACACCACTCAAAAATTTTTTTGACTCTGAAGAAAGAGTACCTAAAATTATTTTAGATTTTTTTAAAAGTCCGATTAGTGAAATTTATTTCCTGATTCTGCATTCCAACTTGAATTTGTTTGATAAAAACATAAAAAGCGTTGAAAAGAACAAAGTGTCAGTAATTGAAATTAGAAAAATATTATACGAAACACAAAACACCCTAATTGAAAGGAAATCTACCAAATTTATTGGCATGCAAACCAAAATGAAAATGCAGAAACTTAAAAATGAGAATCCTACACCTGAAACTACAATTTTGATTTCAAAATTTGAAGAAGAAACACTATCATTTTTTAACACTGCTTCTGAGTATCTGAAAAAGTGGTCTGTTTCATTTGATAAGTATGATGTGTTTGACTGGATGACACTATCTGAAACCCCAAAATGGGAAAAAATTGAAAATACTATTTTATACCTCAATAATAATGGTGTGGAAACTTTAAGCGATAATATCTTTGAGCAATATATGTATCTTAAAAACTTATTAGAAGTTAAACTTGCTTCGGAAGAATGGAAGTCGATCAATTCGGTGGAAGAAAAATGGATTATTTTTTTTAAAGAAACTGAAAATCATGAAAGAAAATGTCAACTGTTGAAATTATGCGAGTATTTGTTTGCAATCCCTGCACACAATGCCACTGTGGAAAGAGTTTTTTCGTTAATGTCGGCCCAGTGGACTGATGAACGAAATCGCCTGCTCCCAGAGACTATGGAGTCGATTTTACAGTTTCAAGTTAATTATAAAATGACTTGCGCAGAATTCTACAAATATGTCCAAGGGGGAAAAGAACTATTGAAAAAAGGAAAATCTTCTGAAAAGTATGGCCATCCAAGTACATCTGCAATAAATTAAAAATATTTTTTTTGTATGTAACCTTAATAAATATACTAATAGTTTTTCTAAAATAAAGAACTCGGAACAAGTCTAGTTTAGCAACCTATCGATTTTTAAGGTTTTTTTTTTTCCAAAATGTGTGTCTTGGGGTGCTTAATAAGAATGTAAAAAAAAAAAAGGTTAGGTACTATAACTATCGAAACAACGCAGTGCGTCAGTGCCCTTGCATGCAGTAAACTTCAGTAATAATAAATAATTATGAATCTTGTATTAAACTTTCAAGATTTTGATTGGGTCTAAAATTTGAATTTTTCAATATAAGTGTAAATTGAAGTCCTTTACGCAATAAAAAAGTTTGAATTAAATATTCTAAAAAAATGAATAATTTACTGCTACTTTAAATCACACTGTTTTACACATATTTTAATGGTCATAAAATATTTTTAAAAAACTGATAATTGTGAGTATGTTGTTAAATAAAATGTCAGTCAAATTTTAAAAATATAGTACCTAAATAAAAAAACCAAAAATATTTTGAAATATTATAACCAGTAAAAACAAGTATGAAATGTCACAAACATTGTTATGATAAAATTGATATAATGATATAAAGTAATAACTAATTTTAATCATTTTTAAATAATATAACTTTTGTCAATAAAATATACTCATCTTAATAATTATTTTGAACATTTTCTTTATTAACTTGCAATATCTACTATGTATAACCAATTATTAGGATATTTATGATTAAAATAACTATCAAAATTAACTAATTTTATTATAAAATTTTTATTATTTAAGAGTAAGGTATTGCAATTTCCTATACAAGGGTAATGCACATAATTATTTTTTAATAATTTCTGTCAACATTTTTTTTTATATTTTTACCAATTATTTTAATTATTTTATTGAAGAAAATGTGAGACATTTTAAAGTGAAAACTAAAAAAATAAATGGAAAGGGAGTGAAAAGTCTGAATTTATGATTTGTTATACTTTGAGTTAAATTGTTCTTTAAAAAAAATTAAATAATGTGTCATAAAATTAATAATATAACTGCTATATTGTATAAACAGTTTTGTTCAGTATTTTGTAGAACTATTAAATGCATCACATAATTCAGGTTCTTTATCTGATGGTTCAGACGATATAGGCTTGATTTTTGAAAAGTCTAATATATCACCAAGGAACCCTCTGTTATCTTTATCGTAGCTACTATTGGATACATTTTTTAGAAATTGAGCTACATAACCAAGTTTCAAATTACTCTTGAACTGTAAAGGATTTGGAATAGGTTGAATACTTCTAATACATTAAAGTAAATTTTCGAGACAATCTTGAGAAAATCCTCTAGTAGGGAGAAACTTATATTACTTATTATTGAGATAAATATTTCGTAAATCAATAATACATTTTGTTGCTAATGTGACACCAGCTTGGCATGGTTTCCATGTTCCCTTAGACCCAATTTTGATATTTTTGAACTTAAAAAATAAAATCACATAAAAATTGTATGATTTCATTATAGTAGGTTGGACTTACTTAAAGCAACAGTGGGATTTCTAGAAGTCATTAATGTAACCACTTAGCAACTTGTTGTATGAACCATGCTGTGGTTTTTAGAGAAGAATGATAATTTTCATGGTCAACCGAAAATTGTTAGCTTGCACTTACACAGTATTCACTATGTTCGCAGCTTTTTAAACTTTCATTTTATCAAAATGATTAGGCTTTTATAATTCTTCTATATCAATATTCTTAACTAATTTTAGTTCAAGATTATTTTGGTGGTTTGCCAGTTGTTCAATATGTTTGCTATCTACAACATAAGACGTTATGTGGTATTTGTTTACTATTTCTTCAGGTAATGTAATGACTAATGAACTTATTGTTAAATAATGCTTGTTTTATATTGTTAAATAAATGTGGCGCATCTGGTAAAAAATATAATTCACGTTCAGAGTCACATGGGTGTAAAGTACAATTTTGTATGTGTCCTGTACATCCAGGTGAACAATGAATGCCAAAGCTCGTCCACATTGCTTTATTGCTTGCTCCCACATTAGACGTAACCGAATTTACTTTAAGTCTAACGCTTCAGTTTTTGAGATAGTTTCAATTATAATTGTTTTAAAAATATTGCCTTTTACTGGTTACTAGTGAAATAATATGTAGTTTGTCTGCTTCCAACGGCTGGATATACTTGCTAACATAAAAACTAAAGCGTGGTTTGCGTCACCATTATGTTCAGGCAACGTTACATTACCAACAAATGATTTTGAACTGATATCACATATAAAACCTTCAACAAGAAATATCTCATCTAATACTATAACACATTCTCTGTCAGTATCTTTCAGTGTAGAAACTTTAATTGCCAGCATCTCAAAAATATCATTCAAAATTCTACTCTCAAAAGATATATTTTGTAGTTTGGGCCGAAGAGTTCTCAAAGAAGGAAGAGGGTAATTTTGATTAAGGAGTTCCTCATGACAAGCAGATCCACATGCAAATTTTAGTCACAATGCTTTTTTAATAGTGTCACCAAACCAAGTAAATCCTTTCTTATTCTTAGAATTCAGGGATAAAATTTGATTTTCTGCTAGAAAAGTTTTTAAATTTTTATTTAAATTGCTATCAGTATTGGTTTTAATACTTGTAGAACTTTTAATCTTACTAATTCTGTTTATTTTATGGCATAACTATCTGATAATTTTGGCCCCATTTAATGATTCTTTTTTACTATTTTTTAGATGTTGTATTAATTATTTTTTTTAGACATTTTCTATTTTGGGATTTATAATATCATCTGTTATATTACTCCAATTTTCAGGTAAGACTGTGAAATTTCTATTTATAATTGTAGGTGTATCATAATGAGAGAAAGGTTTGTAAGTAGCATATGAGTGTTCTAAAATTGATATTCTTACTCTTTTTATGGGACTCGGGGAATATGTGTGTTTTTCTTAGGAGATTTTATTTTTTGTTTCTGAGGTGGAATATGACAAAAATTAGTGGGCAGAGCAGACATTTTCAATTTTGTTTTGCCATCTAACCTTTTTTCCCCCATTGATCATCATCAAAGTTAACTTAAAGAATACCAAATAAATAACTCAATGCAATCAAATAAATTATTTTAATAATGTTAAATATTAAATAATAATAAGTCATTTTTTTTTTATCGAAGCCGCAATAACAAATATCATTATTGGCCTTTTGATATTTAAACAGTATTTACACATAAAAAGTATATAAGGAATGATTTAAATAGCTACCATTAGCAGTGTTGGGAATAGATAACTAAATTTCTATCTAGATAAAGATAAAGATAAAGAATAAATATTTTATCTAGATAAAGATAGAGATAAATAAATTTAATTTTTATCTAGATAAAGATAATTAAACAACCATTTTATTTAGATAAAATTAAGATAAATTGTATAATATGAAAATTTATATTTTTTCGCAATAGATATTTAACTAATATTATTCTATCTCGACCATTCGTTAATTTTGTTTATTTAGAATTACACGATGTTACGATGGATAGGGGGAACGGGGAAAGAGTGCTGTCACCAATCAATATAACCGTAACGTGTGTTACTGAGTTAGTGTGTGTTAAATTAGTATCTATTTATGATATTTATAAATAGTACTCAGATAATAATACTGAAATAAACACAAATAAGTATCTAATCGACAAACCCATCGGCCATCATTATTGTTAAATTAGTCTATAGTAATATTTGTATATATACGATATACCATTAGCAATAAATTAATATTAAATAATAAATAATAACGAATAAAAATTTTAAAAATTTAATTGTAATTAAAACCAAAAAGTATGTCCTCGAATAATTTATCTAAATATCTAGATACGTAAATTGTTTATCTAAGATAATTTCTTAAGATAATTGTCAACAGTTTATTTATATTTATCTAGATAAGATAAAGATAATTTTATTATTTATCTAGATAAATTATCTAGATAATCCCAACACTGACCATTAGGAGGGAGAATAGCCTCGACCTAGAAGGGAGAGGGAAATTGATTTTAGTGGGAGGTAATGGATGAGCTTTGAC